GGTCCTTTACGGACCCGCGCCATCCTACGGGTCCTTCCCGGAACCAGGCCCTCTTCATACAAGCATGGCCTCCGCTCGCCGGAGCATCACGGGCTCTTAACCCAGGGAAAAGCGACGCGGTAAGCGATAAGCCGCAGAGTAAGGCCCGTTGTCCTAGGCTTTCACAGCCCCAGGGTCGAGGGTTCGCTTGCGGTTAACACCCCACAACATAACAGCACACAAAAAAAACAACTGCGCATCAGTTTATCCCCTACCCTGAACTCCCTATATGCTAAACCCAGACAATGGTTACAAATTAAATCTACTCACATTTATTGGCGTTCATTGACGGCAATAAACCTCGACGTCCTACTTAGTCATCTTCTTCCTTGCTTGAGATGCCCAAATTTTCTAAGATACATCTGTACAGGAAACGAATGCATAAATAAAGAGAAAGGTGGTTCGTTTCGCCTCTGACTCAGACGAACCACTGTATTCCACCAACCCCCCGAGGCTCCTCAGTGAGTAGAGGGTTGGCAGAATCATGGGTATGATCAAAGAGGTAAAAAAGAAAAACGAATGGTTAGAGACGTTTTGTGTGTATGCTTTGTGAGAAAGGATGATATGTGACATATCTCTAGATGTATATACAAGCAATAAGTGAAAATTTAGGAATGTTCAGAATATAGCTAGCTGCGTATCGAATGTACGCAGTTAAATGACAACGCGTATCAGAGCACATTATTTATCTGCTATATATTAATAGTGAAATATGAGTAAACTAATTATATGCAATGGAAGGAAGAATTGATACACCCTTATATACTACCAGTTATACTTTTGATTAACTGTGTAGTGTATTTGAAGCTACTATCTATACCATACTTGTAGCTGATAAACTTGTTATTATATATGCACTTAATAATGTATGAACTAATGAAACTGTCGTCATAACCATTGGATTTCAAGATATGAACCATTTCTCTATTTTGGAAATGAAGGTTTCAAAACTAGTACATGTATTCGAAATCCGCAGAGTTTCCGTATATATGACAGCTCCTTTATTAATGTTAGAAATATTAGTATCACTATGAGGAAAGCGAATGACCTTAAAATTGAAATCATCTGTTTTATTATACAATTCTGTAAATATTTTGCCATTATGTATATAAACTTTTAAATCAAGGTAGTTACTACAGTTGTCAACCTCATGTGTTTTTTTGAGCTCGAGTTTGCGTTTATATACTTTGTCTAATATTGAGTCTACCATGAAATCACTTTGATTATGTATAACCAAGAGGTCATCCATATATCTATAGGGGATAAAAATACTTTTTTCATTAAACTTCAAATTTTTTGCATATTTGTACTCCATAATAGAGAGTGTAAGATCTGCAAGAAGGGGGCTAAAATTCCCGCCCTGTGGTACTCCTTTTTTCTGTGCAAAGATATAGCCACCAAAAGTGCAATAACTATTAACGAGCAAATATTCAATGTAGTATAACAAATCATTGATTCGATAGTATCTATATTGTGGTTTAATATCCTTTCCATCACTATAATAAACATTGTAGCCATTAGTGGCTATGAAAGATTTATTAGCATTTTTGAAGCATATATTCAGAAGTTCTTTTGCATTACCGATAATCAAAGTATGTTCTAAATTAGTAAACATATCTGTAAAATCTGCTGTGAAAATCTTTAACTTATCATAACTAATATTGTTGAGTTCATGACTTATATTGATATTGCTTATAGACCAATAGGTTTTAATAGTTTTATTCCTATTTTGTGTATAACTCGTATAAGCCATCGCGTCGTAATGCCTGCAGCCGATAGCGTCCATCGGACATAGCGGACGCGGACGTTTCCAGCGCCTTGACCGGACGAAGCAGCATGTCCGACCATGCTGCCGAGTCGTCCATCCTGCAGCCGATAGCTTCCAGCTCTCCCAGCCGTCCGGCTTCCTCGCGCTTGCACTCCTCCGGGAGGGGTCGAAGAGCCTAGTCGAAAGACCTTGAAGTCGGGAACCTTGAAGTTAGTGCCTCTGAATAATGCAAGCAGATGGAGTTTTCATGGTGTAAGGAGATACGGCCGCCAAAAATAGAAGAGTTTCTTCTGGGACAAAGCGACCACTGGCTGGTTGGTGAGTACACCACTCGAGCATAACGCCCTGCTGGGCTGGGTAGTGGCAGTGAGGCTCCGAGACCTCGGCTCGGGTCACAGCTTTGGAAGTGAATTGCTGTTGATTGAAGCTTTAGAGCTGAACCTTCATCCGAGAAGTAACCCTAGCTTTTTTAAGGAACTAACTATGCACACCATAACATTTCTAATCCTCCGGTGCACAGCGTGAGTGGTTCGCAAATCTTCTCCAATCAACGCCGACTATTGGATGGTGGACCTTCTGTACTTGGTATTTCTTCACGTTGATCTGAATTTTTTACGCTACGATTATGGTTTCATGGATGAGTTTCACAGGACCGTCTAGCCTTTTAAATTGCTCCTGCCTTGATGTGACACATGTTGTAAAGCAAGAAGTAATCAAACAAGAGCCTGAAAGTGAAATCAGCAAGGTAAGGTTGAGTGTACAAAGTGAAAGGAAAACATGTAAACTGGTAATATTAATGTTTAGGACTTGTTCAGCACTGCCTGTAGTTCTTCTTTAGCTGTGCCTATATTGGTAAGCAACCCTTTTTATTTCAATTACCCCATACATTATTTGAGCATTTTTAACCCACTCGCGGAAATGTGAGCCATCGGCGGCTGAAGAGGTTTGCATGGAAATTTAGGGCGCAATTCCCGATTTCTGCCTTTCTCTGGTGAAAGGAATCTTCGAACCAAAATTAGTTCACGTTAGCCCTGAGTAATGGGCATTTTGACTTCAATTTTATTCGAGAAATAACTTCACTAGTTCCGAAATTTTGCCCTGTACAAGTAACGTGTCAAACGCCATAAACACCGCCTGTTTTCACCACAAACGTACATGGGTTGACTAGTGCCCTGAACACGGAGGTGGCATTCATTTTTGGCGCAATTGGGCTAGCACAATAGGCACCAGTTTGGCGCTGGCACCAAAAATTAATTTTATCTTCGCCATCAGGATACTGAATGATTCCGTTGTGAAACTTTCAATGAATTTGGTAAAAATAGTTATTGTACTGTGTTAATCCATTTTTGTAGAATTCTGGTGCCAACTTCAAAAATAGCTGTAATATTTGGGAGAAGAACCATTGTCCTAGAGGGAACTTTTTTTTAGCGGGAATGATCAACTTTTTAACTTTAGCCCATTCCCAAAAATGGTTGCGTGGGACAGTGGCAGCCACCGGTGGCTGACATATCGCAAGCGCTTTGAGAGGCGCTGGTTTGAAAGGATGGTTTTGGGCGCGAAAGGGTAAAAATAAGATGTGACGGAAAAATGCACGTTTTCGAAGTTGCAGAAGCAAGAAGAGGGTGACCAGGATAGTTGGTCGATACCATCAGCAATTCGTATTCCTATGGTTCTCACAAAGCCGCCTGCGATTCCGTACGATGCACCGTATCCATCCATCCAGAACATTGTGGCTACGGTGGACTTAGGTATGCGAGTTTATGGCGGTTGAAATATCTATCTGCAGTGATTTGGAGCATTCACAAAGTAGAGCGTAGTTAGAGCTGTTTATTGGAACAAACGTTTCCTCCCTAGAGGTCGTTCACGCTGCCAAATGGCGCCGCTTTAAAATGTCTTCTACACACTACAGCATACCTGTGGTTCGTTTTTTCCAGGAATTTCTGCTTACGGAGAATTCCTTTAATCGAACTTCACCGGGTCTAACTTCTTTTTTCTACGCTTTTCTATGCTATTTTTTTCTGAGCAATTTTTCTCAATTCTGCTGCATTTTCATCCACTTCCTTCAATGAGGTGAAGACTCATGAATAGCTTGAGTGTCTTAGCTTGGGTACGTTGTCATGGAAAGCTCTCCTTGATGCCATAAACATGATCCCATGGTTTTATAAGCTTTTATTCGAATATACATCGTGAAACTATCACAATCGCTATATAGCTCCTTAAAATCGACTGATTTTATGACACAGCAGCGACAATGCACAACTCAGTGCTTTTTCTGCGAAGATGCCTAGCTGATGCTTCAGATTTTCATCAAAAGAGAAATCCAGAGTATGGTCGGAGGTGGAAAAAGGGAAATCAGTTGAAAAGCAGGCGCAGGCCTCCTAAACTTGTGACGATGTGTGCTCTGCAGCGAAGAGTGTAGCCCCACTGCCTAGAAGGTACACTTGGGCCGCTGGCGCCTCTGCACGCCCGCCGACAGATATCCTCTCGTCGTCCGACTCCAGCCGTTTAGCAAAGAGAGCGTTGACGTTGAAGAGAGCAGACCGATAAGAGTCACATTAATGCGGGAAAGCCTGTAAAGGTATTACCATTTCCAGGCTCTAGAGCCGCCTCTAATGATGTTTCCTTCATTCCTGCACCACTGACTACCTCAGCCTCGGATTCGAACTTGCTGCCCTTTCACTGAGGGCTCCGCCTTTGAATTGCCTGCCCTAGTAGTTGATCCTCAATGGTCGCTTTCTGCATTTGATTGGGTTTTCACAGCATTTTCTAATGCTTGAACTCTTCTCAGATTTCACTTTTTACGCCTGCATTCGACTGGGATACAAGACATTCATTATCATTTGGTAAACTTACTCTTGGACAATTTTCCTGTTAAGAATGCATTAATTCTGAAAAGTTCCTGTGAGTTATCCCAATAGAGGTGCTTCCATTTTTTCTCATATTGTTTGTGAACGATCCCCTTTCTTAGCAGAGGTGATGGGAGGACCTCCTCTCCATCACAGGATCTTATAGATATTTCTAGTCTTCGACTCGCTTGACATATGCATATCTTTAACATTTTGCCACTTGTCGGATTTTCGCTTAACATTGAGCGTGAGCGCGATCTCATAAAATTTTTTTATCACTCATAGGACTTGATCAATCGATAGATACGGTTGGGGCTTCATTTGCGCATTTTTCTTTCGCTTCTTGAATGTTTATACTCGCATCTGTTCAAGGTCAGCGCATCGATTTGAAGAAATTGACGCTTCATTCGAGGAACACTGAATACAACCCGAAAAGGTTTTCGGCAGTCATTATGAGAATTCGTGAACCCCGAACAACCGCACTAATATTTTCATCTGGTAAAATGGTCACAACTGGGGCGAAATCGGAGTCGGCCAGTAGGTGAGCTGCTAGTCAAAACGATAGTCGGAAACCAGTCGGAAACCAGTTCATGTCTTTCAGCTTCGAATCACTTTTAATGATCTGATTTATTCTAGGCAAGCTTCACGTAAATTTGCTCGTATTGTTCAAAAAGTTGGATTTAATGTGAAATTTGCAGATTTCAAAGTAAGTTTTCAGTACTGTACACTCGTGTTTGGGCGTCCAACGCATTGTCTTTAAAGAGTGTTACGCGACGCGTGCGCCAACACGCATGTAAATTAGGCACCACGCAGTTTCTATGGAGGGCCAGTAAATCGAGCTCAAATATCAGCGCTACATTTCGTAAAATCCTCGTTTATTGATATTTTCTTTTGTCAGATACAGAACGTGGTTGGTTCGTGTGATGTACGATTTTCGATCCAGTTGGAAAGTTTGTGCATAATGCACGCCCAGTTCAGCACTTACGAGCCCGAATTGTTTCCCGGCTTGATATATCGCATGGTTCAGCCTAGGGTGGTGCTACTGATCTTTGTTTCCGGCAAGGTACGACCTTTCAGCTTAAATGGAATCCAACAACCGCTGATCAAGAGTGTGCTGTAGCAATACTATGACAATATATCGAATAGCTATTGAATATTAGTCATTACTCGAAAAGTTCAAAAGTGTGTTGTTGATTGCATGCTGAAGCTTCCTCCATAACACGTGGGACCGGTATTGGTTACCAAGCGTACAAAGGTCTATCTGCTTCTGCGTGTTGTGTCTGTCCGCTTAGAGTTCAGCAAGGAACGGTCAACGCTGATTATAAACATAAAAGAATGCTACTTAGAGAAGTCAGTGCACCATAAAAACACTTCGTTTACTCATAAGGATGGGTCTAACCGGCAAACCCCTGGATTGCCCAACAGTAGGAAGGATACAGTGAGGAAAATTGTGTGGTCCGTACCTACATACATAAATCATGCCGGATGCACAAAAATTTTTAGAGAAGGCCAAGTATACAACGAAAAAGCACTTCATATATTCATAAGGGTGAGTCTAACCAGGATTGTTGGAGACAAGCCCCTGGATTACTCGACTAGTAGGTAGGCACAACTTGTGCGAATAGGGCGATAATTTTGCGGGCCTACATGCATCGACCCCCATGATAAGCAGAAGTATGCCTCGCTAAACGGCCGTGCTCGCGTGTTTTGCCGTTCTTGATCACGGTGTCTCGCCGTCGTAGCACATCTACCCATACTGGTTGAGCCTTTAATTTTAGCGTTCGATGATTTCTCTTGCTTTCCTCTCCAACTTCACTTCATTCTGCAGCTCAGTCATCACTACGAAGTGCTCTATAAACCAGTCTTATGCCGGACTTGCCTTTTTAAATCTCTCAAGAACACCCAAATAATTACGTAAAGGAATCTGGGAGTGCAAGGTCATCGCATTTATGGATTTCCTTGAAGGCACAACCCAGGCAGAGGTCGTGTGAACGCTTTCTCTTCGGTCTGTAGTATAGACCCCTAGAGGAATCACAAATGTGGCGTTCTCGTGCACGGAAACCAACCGACAAGAGCGCTTGGGCCTTGCAAAGTAAGCTGCCCAAGCTGCAGACTTTTTTCTTATCAGGCTGTTGTCTGGCGATCTCTCATCTGTAGCGCTCTCTCGCCCCATACTCTCCTCTCCGCGCTTAGTCTCTCATTCCCTTAGCACAGCCGATTAGGAAGGTGTGAGTGAGCCTTAACCTAAGCGTTTTTGACAGACTTTTCCTTTCTTCTTTACTGCTCGATGTAGATAAAAGAATGGAAAGACCAGGGTTTCGTCAAACCAGATTTGGCAGAGCGCTTTGAGTACGGATGGACAAAAGGATACTTCCTGTGGGATACTGTTTCCAAAACGGCAGGTTATTGTAGGACAAGCACGTATACAGTATTTCCATCGTCACCTACGGGAGCACAGGAGGCCTTTTTCCAGGATCTGTTGTGGTTGTGCTAATGCCTAAAGATAGAACAGTTTTCGTATGCGAAACTCTTGAGAAAGCGGTTGATGGATTTCGTGCAAATGTATGAAAGTCTGGTGGTGTTATTCTTGATATTTTAAGGTGGTAATCACAGGAGCTCGGCATCAAGATGACATTGATCAGGCTTTCAAGCACATTTCCATCTTAAGAAGATTCAAAAAAGACATCAGTTTTTTTCTCACAGTGACGTCCAATTCGTTGCTTGTTCTTGCTAGTATCGGGTACAGTAGGTGTAGGATATATTTGTTACATTGCAGAGAGACATGTCATTCTTCACAATTAAATTCCACTTTACAACGCAGTAATAAAAATTAATAAATGCAATGCCTTGTTTTGTATAATACATGCTAGAAGCAAATGAAGTAAAGACCACTCAGCACTGATCAATCTCGATGTTACGCCAGCATTCCACATGCATCTATACGCCTAACGTGACCTTGAATGTACTTGCAGGCCAGCGATGTACAAGCGAGGATATATCCTCTCAAGACTCTGATACTAATCAACCTTTCGAGGGATGGAAAAGCCCTTGATTGAGCTGGCGCGTGTGAGGGATTGATCCCCAGACCGCAAAGCGTGCGTAAACAGCCACACGTATATATCATTTCTGCCCATAAATAAATATTTTCAATGTGAAAAATGTAGACGAATCTTGCTCACACGTTGTTAGTCGACCACATAGCCAAAAAATGTGTTGAGCGCAAAATGCCTGCTTGCTCAGCTTCAAACTTGTCTATTGTCGGAATCGTGTCATTCGTCGCGTCTATAAGATCAACGATACCCAATGAACCGTCCTGATAAGGGTGTCAGGTGTTTTTTTCTTGGACATTGTACACTCTGCTTCAGGAACCAGACGGCGTATGTTCGAATGGCTTATTCAGTGCTATGGCAAATTTTCATCGATTGCCTTCTATTTGTGAGGAAAGAAGTGAAGAGACGGAAAGACGCCAGCAAATGCAATCTTTACAGATCCTGCATGCTCATCGATTCTAGTTACCATTTGAGCATGAGTAGGCGCGCGGATTTGGGCAAACGAGGTTTTCAGGAATGGATGCATGGTTAAAATGCCGTTCAGATTAACGGATCAGGTTGTGGTAGCTGATAAGCATTTTCAGCCAAGATCGCAAATCGAGCCGAGTCATTTCGATGTGGCTCACATTAGTGTCTGATAAAACTATCGAGAAAGCAGTGGAACAGTCGCATCTATGCGGAAATCAGCGGAGAAATGTTCCCGTTTCTTTAGTTCGGGCTTGTTTGCGTAGTTTCTCCATCCTCTGGGGTACCCCCCAGGAGGCCCGTCGCGCGGCAAGAAGGCAGAGTCGGCGGACGAGTTGCAGCGCGTGGTGTGCGATGTAGGACGTGCAGTGGGACACTCTATTTAACTTGACGCGAAATCCCTATAGTACGCGCGCGACTCGTCCGCTGACTTTGCCTTCTTGCCGCGCGACGGGCCTCCTGGGGGTACCCTTCTTTCTGCTCACTGCACTTCTATAATAATTTCATTGAGCTACCTTTCGTCGTAAAATCTGCCTTCAGTAAAATTTTCCAAAGGGACTCGAGCATGCTGATTGGCTTATGTTTATCTAGAGATCTCTACAAATATTTGGCCAAGCGATTCCAACTACCTTGTCACCCTGTTCCGCAAAACATCCAGATGGTCACCGAATAGTGGATAGGGGCCTCCACCGTCGAACTTCCATCCCAATTATATAATCGATTTCAAAATTTTGAGGAACTCTATTGAATTGGTGAGTTTTATTGAAAACGATGGAAGCACACACACACAAACACGGCTTTCTATTCACACACACGTTCTCAGGTGATATCATAAAACATCCGATTACCGACTATCGACTGCTCGGTGTTTCCACAAATTTAGGAGCAGAAAAGAGACACCGAACCTCTCATTTCAGCCAGCGTTGACCGCATTTTGGTAAGCTCGAATTGACTGCCCCTAACTTAATTTTTAATTTCAATGAGCACATCACAATCTATCAGTGAACGTTATAACAGCTTTTTGCACCAACGACATCACAAGAATTTGCCATGGGAACCTTGTGCACGGTTCGAGCTCAACGTGGTCCTCGACGGATCATGGACCATTGCGACGTTATCTGAAACGCTGGTCGGAAGGGGTCTTGCATATTCAGAGCTACTGTCCCTAGGAAGCATTCATCAGTTATCCGATTGAAGAAATTTTGTAGCAGCTTCAGGCTGGAGCGATTACGGTAGGCCTTCTTGAGCTCAACGGTGATGGAAGATGACGTCATATTTTGAGGACGGTGAGGGCAGTAAGGGGCCTGCTTCTACTTAGGGAGGACATCTAAGGATATTTTCCGTAAAACTTCATCAACAGCGGCACCCTGTGCGACGAAAAGTTTGATGATGTGCGCTACGGGCAAAGTGTCTGTTTTTTGCCCACCCCTGTAATCATGAGCCCACGAGAAGTAAAAAAAAACATGAAATGATATGTGGACTCAAAAAGATTAGACCAAGCGATTTCAGCTACAACTGATATGAGGAAGGGCAGTGTGTTGATAACCGAGTGAAAAATGAATCTGACATTGGCTGCTGGCTCTGGAACCGGGTGTAGGGTCAATCGTATATTGAGCGCTCCCAGGAGGATCGTATTGAGTTTTTTTTTTCGGAGTAGAGGTCGTATTAGGGTTGGAAGAGTTCAAAGGTTGCTCCTCTTACGTGACTTTGTGACTCCGAGTAGAAGAAGTGTGTGTAACATCTTTTAAGGCCATTGTTGATGACCGCTCAGCACCCCTTGTTATGCAGCTCAGCCAGGAGGGCGGGACATCTCTGGCCCTTGTGAACTGCTCTATCCTACCCACTGAAACATTTCATCCACCCAAACTCGCCCTGGCTGCAGTCCTCAAAAGCATAGAGCGCGGTAGTGGTGAAGCTTATCTCTGACGACGAGAGAAAAAGCTGTGGGTCAATCATCAATATTCTACTTTTCTACACTATTGTTCTGCTATAAATTTGAAGCAGCACGACCGATGGTACGATTATCAGCAAAGGAACTATCCCAAAATAAGCGCTTCCATCCTAAACTAGTCATGCACTGTGTAGTATGGGCAGATCTAGCAAATAAGCAATGATATGCTGTGAAACTTCATATAGAACTGTGAAATTCTTCAAAGGTAAGAATCGGGATTATATTGATGGGTTGATTCCACTCAAATGTGAAAGTAGGGATGGGAGGTGGACTGCCAGTGAAGCGAAAAAAGGGACGAAAATCCTAAAATACAAAGCAAATACGAGCAT